TGGCTGAGTCATAGAGTGCTTGCCTCACATGAATGAAGTCCTGGGTTCAATTTCTCAGTACAACATAAACAGAAAAAGCCAACTCCGCTCTGTGGCTAAAATGGTAGAGAGCTAGCCTTGAGTGAAAGAGCTCAGGGACAGTGCCCAGGCCCTGAGTTCAAGCCTCAAGACTGGAGGAAAAAAAAACTTTAAGAAGTATACTTTGTCTTCTCCCATAAAAGTGAGTATTGCCAGGTACCCGTGACTCAAACCTGTAATCCTAGCGACTCAGGAGGCTGAGATCTGAGGATCACCATTCAAAGCAAGCCTGGGCAAGAAAGTCTGTGAGACTCTTATCTCTAGTTAACTACCATAAAACGGAAGTGGCTCTGAGCAAGCCTTGATCAAAAGGAACTCAGGGACAGGTACTCAGGCCCCAAGTTTAAGCCTCATCACTGACCAAAAAAGAAACAAATAAAAGAACTATAACTAGCTGTCTATTTTATGTGTTACTGTGGAAACCTATAATAATTTCTATTAACTGGAATTTCTAATTTGATTCTTCATAATAAATACATTTCATTGAATGATTACTTGATATAATAAACTATGTTAAAGGTTCATATTCTGCATACCAAATATATAGTCTCAAACACATGGCACTGGTTCCAAAGTATTATATAAGCAGTGGGTCCTTCCAAACTGTGGAGGATTAAGTTGCTGATATTAAAAAAAAACATAACTTGCAAAAATGCTTTGAGAAATAGGACCAGTGTAGTAAGATAAAGCAGAATTTGTGTGAAAGAAAAGCTCAGAGAAGTAAAAACAAAACAAAACAAAACCAAAAAAACAGGCAGGTCAGAGAGGCAAATAGTTTGAAGCAAACTAAAGACACTATTTTAGAAAAGCTTTCATTCTGGACACTGTAAAACTAAGAATTGGAATGGAAGGAAAATGCTGAAATATTGAGTATACAATGTAGATATTATGGCTCTCTTTTTCTGAAAAAATAATTTACAAGTACTATCTCATATCTATTCTACTTTTCTAGTGCTTCAGAACGTCTTCTCTACCTGTCTTAGCAGTACATTAGTATTCTGGTAGAATTTTACTATTTTGGTAGAATTTTACTATTGTTTATTTGACTAAAAAGTTTACGTGAACACAGTTTCAGATTTTATCCTGGATTTAGAGAGAGTTATGCTTTTTGATTTTCCCTCCTTTGAACCTGATCTTGCTTCTTCTCTCTCTCTCTGAGCTTTGTATGACTATGATTTTTCCTCATATCCTTCTCTTTCTCTATGAGCTTTGTGTGTGGCTATGATTTTTCCTCATATTCCTCTTTGTCCCAGCATCCAGTCAGTTGTCCTATTTTGCTACTACTTTCATAGTGTTTTTGTATCAAATCTTTTTATTTCTTAACTCTCAGTCTTGTATTTAAGCCAAGTAATACATCCTACAAGAATACTTGCTGCTTCATGCTCTCCCAATTTCAGAATTATCACACTGTACTGAACTGCCATTAAGTCATGGTTCATTTAGTACAATTTCAGATGCTTATTATTCTTACAGGATAGTTTTTATTCTATGCAAGTTATGACATTAACTAGCTTTATATTGATGAAAACAGTCACCATGGCTTGCTATATAAGTTACTAAGCACTCTGATCCAATCATTATACGGTTTTAATTCTATTTTCCTTCTATTTTAATTCTACATTCCACTTAAACCTTATCTCCTGGCATTTGGGCACATCTTAGGAAGTCATTATTCTGGGTAGGTATACCCTTTCTGAATTGTTAGCAGTCTACAACTTAGATGAAAATTTCTTTTCTCAAATATTATTTTTGCTCCTGACTTTAGGTAATATGTTTTCTCTGCCATGTGGTTTCACTTTTACTGATTGTTTTACTCCACAAATTTTAGGAGAAGATAGAAGGAAAAGAAAGAGTATTATTTAGGAAAGTCATGACAGATGTATTCAGTATATTAAAAAAGTATTCAAATGCAAATGCAACAGTGTTTTTGTATTGTTTATAGACTCATTTAAAGTAAATATTACCAGAGGTAACATGAATCAGTAATATGAATGTGGTATACAGCACCATGAGAAACACAGAATCAGTTGTTAAGGTCTTGGCATTCGTTTCCTTTGCAAGGCTCTTAGAAGTTGGTAGATCTTATCATCACTCATTTTCAGTGAGAAGATCAGGGATAGATGTTAACTAGAGTGCAGAACCTGGGATTGGAATGCCTAACACCCCACAGCAAAGCCCAGATATTGACATAATGGACACTGTTACCTCTTGTTCATATATCAGTGCCATGTTATCAATCTGTGACATAAAAATGTACTAATATTTATTTACTTTATATACTATTATTATTATTTAAGTAATTATACAAAGAAGTTGCCATTCAACCAAGTAGTTTATGAATACCATACAACTTGATCAATGTCACCCCTTTCAACGTGCTCATCTATCCCTTCCAACCCACCCCTTTCCAAACTTTTCTTAATTGGGTAGGATGTTCATGAATTTTTGACTGAATTCTCCATCCTACTTCTTCTCTTCATTTGCCTATTTAAATGTCTCCCCTTTTCACTTTTATTTAATGCTTTGAACTATATTCAGTTCTATGCATGTATATTTTAATTGAGATAATAAGGTTGATGTTTTTCTTTTGGTTCATAATATATACAAAACGAGTTGAAGAGTATTACAGTTTTTCTTAAAAGAAAAAATGAACACTGAGAAGTCATTTCATCAATACTTGATTCCTGATATACAAAAAGTTTAAAGTAACAGCAAAAAAATAGATTCAAGATGAAGATTCACTAAATATTTTGCAAGATAATGAAAAGTTTGATATTACTTTATATTACTAAGAAAAAGATAAGATTTGTGGTCTCTCTAGCTTTTATCTTTTCTGAAATCTATTTGTCATAAGCCAAGGGAGGAGGGCTTTTTTTCTTATATATAGATAATAAAAGTATTTTTATATGTACTAATTTATATAAGCATAAAATTTGTTGTATATTAGCAACAAACATGTTGCTTTTATTAACTCATAGCAGCAGTACATCAGGCATTACATATACGATTTTTATAGAGTTCTTTGCACATATTGTTAGGTCTCTCTGAGACATTTCATAATTAAACTTTACTTAAATTAATAAATAAACCAAAAAATTCTGAAAGAGCAATTGCCAAGTGAAAAACACTACTAACCTAACTGTGCCATAATTTACCCCAATTATTACTTCAAGTTGTGAAATGTCATGTTTAATAAATGGCTTTATTAAATCATTAATATTTTATTTTAATATGCTTAGCACTGGACAATTATGTTTAAAAATACTTCTTTACCTTGTCTGTCTTCTCTATAGGGTTTGTATTGTCTAGGAAAAAGGGAAAATGTGCCAACAGCCAACCTACTTTTATTTTACGAATGTCTTTCATTTCTTTGAAATAGGTCTTTTTCTTTTTTAAGGTGGAAAATAGACTCTAATTCTTGTTTGCTCTTTAAAGTTTTATTATTTTAGGATTTTTTCCTACTGGGAATGAGCATTAGCATACTCAGGTGAATTGCTTAAAGTAAGGGCCTCAAGCTACCCTTGTCTGGCTGGTAGGATGAGGCAAGATATCAAAACTTTTGTCTGACTGCTCACATTCCTTGTCTTAGAGTACTGCTACTCTCAAGAGCATATATCCATGATCTTTCTACTTCTAGTTTTATTACTTCTTTTGTATTATTTAATACATCTAAAGACACTTCCAAAAGACAAATTTTTCCATTTTGGAGAAGTAATGGTTTGGAACCTAAAGAAACACATTAAGGTTCCCAGTATGTATTTTGCAAAGGTGAGAGAGTACAAGGGCCATAAAGCAATTAAGCATATGATCTTAGAGACATTAATCCATCAAAGATCATAAGATGTTTAAAAAGTCAACAAAAATAATATCCTGTAAAGGTCAAGTGAAAATGGGCACCTATAAATGTTGTATTTCTCTTTTAGCTGTTTTGTCAGATACTTAACGCAAAAGAAAAAGAAAATATTAAAGTGAGGGAAAGAACTAATCTAACCTCATAACTGGAACTTAGAAGTCCATGATGTTACTTCTATGAAGCGTGAACCTAAGTTATAATTTATCCTAGTGAATGAATGGTTCATATACTTCCAATTATTTCCTGAGGAAGTTTAAGTTCTACCAGGGTCGATACTGTTTTTGTAAACAAGAAACTGATATGCTTGATACTATTGAATACAACCAGGCATTTCTGAAAGTGTCATACACATTTCTGAAACCCACAATACATCAATTTTTAATACTTCTACTCTCTCAGCTCCATTAAAAAGATGGTAGGGGAAAGATTTTCAAGTAATTAATGATATAGTTAGCTGCTAAATATTAATAGGAATCGTAGTCTTGCATAAAATATAACATATAAACCTTTCCAATACAGACGTACCAGTAATTAAAGTTGAATATGTAATTACACTGATTTATAAGACAGGCAAAAAGTTACACATTACTAGCTTCTATGTAAACTGTGGGTAACAGCTAAACTTTGCATTTTACGGTTTATAAAAATGGGCAATGTCTTCACTACAGTTCATAAATGGTTTAGAGACCTGAATGGTAGTAAAAATTACGACAACGTATCCCATCGTGAATATTCTTATTACACCACACAATCCAAATGGGTGATACGACCTATCAGATGTAGAACTGCCTTACACTCTGCTTTATGCCCCAGAGAATGTCGTAGTACTAAGAATTTGTACAGTAGTTCTATAACAATACGTATAAGGCATTTAAGAGACTCTATAAGATGTATTCAAAGTGATTTTGATACACTATTTCATATTCTGTACACAGTACTATTTAACGTTACTTGAAATTTTATTGTTGGTTTTACTTACATACCATTAAAAGCTTCAAGAAAACTGTTAAACTTTCGAAGACTATTGATACATATTTTCCCCTCTAGGGAGTCTGGTCACCCTACTTACATGTGTGGCTGAGGCGAGCAACCTGGACTGCTGTTCCCATTGCTGTCGATGTGGTCCAGGGACCCATTGAGGTCTTCGTGGACGGCCTGCAGGAGGCCGCTGGATGCATTGTTGATCAGTCCAGGGTTACTTAGCAAAGGTAAACTGCTCTCTGCCAAGGCAGCCTAGTGGAAATGAGGAAGTGTGAAACAACTTTTCAGCTGTCCTTTAAGATACTTTTGAAAGCACCGATTTTCTTTTAATGGGTTCAAATTGTGACAGAGAGATTTTGGGAAGCATTTAAATCAAAGGTATGGGAAAGACAAAAATTCTAATTGGCCACTTGTGGCCCAGACAGCAGGGAAATGAAGCATGATATGAACATCTAAACAATAGTTTCTGCAGCAAACTTTCTCACTCATGTTTTAACCTTTCCCATCATGAAATGTTGAATCCTCTCATGTCATGAAATACTCCCAGATAATATAAGCAGTTGCTCTGCTTAAAAAAAAAAAAAATGACCAGAACTTAACTCAAAATAAAGAAGTCCTGACATTTGCCTCCTCTGCATAAAAATTATATATTATAATTAAACTTTAAAGTTTTTGCCACAAGCACCATGTTCCCCAACACTATGATGTGAAATCATTTATGACAGCCTGGATAAATATTAATGCATAGCCACATGCATTTGCAAAAGCTTCTATCAATCTAGCATTTGCAGGAAAGCCGAGTGTTCCAGATTTTGCCACAGGGTGTCCTTCTTGCTTCTTCACATCAAACGTAGTTTGAATTAGAACCAGTGTTTTTCCCTGTGCTAGGTTCTACAACTTACTTGGATGATAAACCAACTATTAAAGAACAATCATGATCCTGCCTAAATGGGAAAGCATCCCCCTCCCCCACAGCCACAAAACCAAAAACACTCAAATAGAAAAATAATGGGAAAGTGTAATCACATTACCTGCAAACTGGCATTAAGAGCTGCTCCATAGCCTAAACTGGTAGGTATGTTTTTTACTAAAGTAGGACTTCTGGAAGAAAAAAAATCAGATGATTTATAAATAACAATGTAAAATAAGTGGACATCAGCAATATCAGTTTAAAAGATCTGTTTTAACTTGCTGTTTTACACTATTAGTCCAGAATAAATACACTCCAGGCCACTGCAATAAGGATAGAGGCCAAGTATAAATTTCTCTACATACTACATATCAATTAGATTCAGAAATAAAAGAAACTTTAGAGCATGTGTAGAGGCAAAGTGAGACTGGACATTGAGGATCCTTGAA